AGCGGTTGTCAAAGTGCGGAGTTCACGTGAAGAAAGATAAGTGTTAACTTTTTTAGAAATACCTGCATTACTTGGGTCGTGTCATAAATGCAGCAGGTGTCAGTACGACGCCGAAGAAGATCGAGGCTCTGCTAGAGGTTCATGTACCCACAGGCAAAAAGCAGTTGCAGTCACTCTTGCGCATCATAAATTACTACGGGAAGTTTGTTCCTCGACTGTCTACCCTGGCGAGTCCGCTTTACAAACTGCTGCGTCAGGACCAGCCCTGGTGTTGGTACAAAGCATGTCAGGCAGTGTTCGACGAAATCAAGACAGCGTTGGAGACACCCTCGATTTTGGCCCATTAAGACCCAAGTAAGCCATTACAAGTTGCGTGCGACGCATTCCGGTACGGCGTAGGTGTTGCTCTTTCACATATAAGCGAAGATGGGAACACTCGTCCCATGGCGTATGCACCGCGAACAATGACTGAAGCTGAGAAGTACTGTGAATTAAAACAAAATCATTATCTATCATTTTCGGCATTAAAAGTTTCACTTTTCCATCTGCGGACAATGTTTCACTCTTGTCACGGATCACGAGCCGCTGCAAACTATTTTGGGACCAAAGACGCATTCCGCCTATTGCCGGAGAACGTTTGCAGCGCTGGGCTGTGACATTGTCAGCGTACAAGTACTCATTGGTGTACAAGAGATCCAGTGAAAACTCAGAAGGTGATGTTTTCTCAAGGTTCCCTCTCGAGATTGAGAAGGACGATCGTTCTGAAGGAGGAGTCTTTCTATGCATTACGCCCAGAGTCAATGCCGGTATCCTCTAAGGATATTGCGCACGCTACGTCAGGCGACCCGTGCTTTGTCAAGTACTGGAACTCAAGAACATCGGTTGGCCAACGCGCCTGCTAGAACATCTGAGACAGTTTTTTTGATAGACGCATGCAGATGAGTGTGCATCAAGGGTGCCTAATGTACGGCATGAGGGTTGTCGTTCCGACCCAGCTGCAAGAGTTCGTGCTCGAGGAACTGCACCAGAGTCATCCCGGCATCGTTCGAAGTAATGAGCTGGCTCGCAGTTATGTTTGGTGGCCATCAATTGACACAGACCTCGAAAGAAAGGTACGAAGCTGCCAAGCAAGCCAGGAACAACGTACCGATCCTTGCAAGGCACCTCTTCACCCCTGAGCATGGCCAGCACCACCGTGGAGACGACTACACCTAGACTTTGAGGTGCCGTTTCGCGGAAACGGGTTACTACTAGTTGTGGATGCTCACTCGAAGTGGCCAGAGGAGTTCATCATACAGAACACGGCAACCGAGCGCACAGTAAACTGCCTGCGTTAACTTTTTAGCAGATTCGGAATTGCGGAAACAGTCGTCTCAGACAGTGGGCCGCAGCTGGTGTCAGAGGAAGTCAAGGCGTTCATGAGGAACGACGGAATTCAACATGTCGTGAGCGCCCCGTATCACCCGAGCACAAACGGCCTATAGACGCTTTCAGGCAGCTGTGCATAGGCGCCGACATAACAGACCTTCAGTTTTTGTTCCATCTTATTCCGTTCGCTCAACTTCATCATTACCACAGCAGGACAGGTTATTGTATTTTAAGTGTTACTGTGTCCTTCTCCCCAGCATAGGTCCTTGTGGAGGCTCGTCAACGCCCACTTCAGTGCCTCGGCATCTCGGCAAGACAAGAGAAGGTCGGCTATGGCAGCTCAATCTGGCGCGCGCTGAAAGCGTCTATACTCCGTTTCAAATTATGTTGTACCGCAGCGAAGGCTACAAGCGCGAGCTCATAGCGTTGGCAGCTGCCCTTAGAGCACGAGTGTTTGTGCCGCCAAGGTGTGCCATAGAGCAGGGAGCTCGCGCTTGTAGCCTTTCCTGCGGTAGAACACATGGTGAAACTAGGGTGCCTTCATGTGCGCTTTGCTTGGGGTGATGACATCTGGCCATTTTGTTTCGAACGCTTATTTTTATTTTTTGTTCTGAAGCGCGTAAAAGGGCGTGTCCCTGCTCGCGCTCGTGGCGCTGACTGTGTTTCGGCGACATTTTGTTTCCTGCGATTTCTTTGTATTTTCCCTGTGGGCGCGTGCTGTCGGCATCGGGTACTACAAACGATGGCATCACCCTAAACAGAAGGGCATTGAGGCACACTAGGTGAAACAGAGTATAGGAGAACGGTTTTGTGGAAACGCTAAGATCTGCACTACGCAAGTCGATCGCTGGTGAGTCTCTCGGAGAAGCTTTGCAACACTTATTGTTGGCATGTCGGAATACTCCGCATTCCAAAACAGGAGAGATTCCAGCAAACTTATTTTTTAGTAGAAGATTGCGTACCAGGCTGCATGTGATCAAGGCTATGGTAGGGGGGAGAGTAATGCACAGGCAATTTACGTAAAGTAAACAGAGGAGGTAAAGCAGAGAAGAATTCTGCCCTAATGATCACGTCCTAGGGCGAAACTACAGCGGTTCGCCGAAGTGGCTACGTGGCACCGTCCTGAAGATGACAGGTCCGGTATCTTACCAAGTCCAAGTTACTACATCTCTAGGCAAGTTCATCTGGTGTCGGCACGTGGACCAGCCTCTGAGCCAAGAACGGCCGACGGCCAGACCAGTAACGTCGGACAGGGACGATACTGAGGGGTTCCTGGTCTACCCGCCGAGCGAACCAAGTGTCCAGGCCACAGAACAAGAACATGAGTCACAGCAGCTTCCCGCCATTCGGCAACAGCCGTCCGTGCCTCCTACAGACCCATCGGTTTCAGAAGGACGTTACCCGTTGAGAGAACGACGTCCACCTAATAGATATCAAATACGCTCCCAACTTTTGTGTAAGACTACCGTTGGAGCTACTACGTAATTAAAAGGGAAGGAGTGTTGTACAGTTACCGCCAGGCGCGCGCTACTGAACTTAAGTGGCGGCGCGCGTGTTTCTCTTCTTTGTCGCTTTCTATTACGTGTGCCCCTTTGGAATGGCACGAGAGATTCTGTTCCTGAATGCTCGGTCCTTGAAGTAAAGATAGTCTTCATGGTCCTTTTGTCTTTTATGTCTGCTGCCCCGTCAAAACACGACACAGGCTGCATAAATATGATAAGCATGACGTTTTGTTTCTCCTGCTCAATCTCAAAAAGAACACTTTTTAGTTCCAAAACTTAAAAAAAAATATATATAGCCTTTCTACTTTGGTGAAGAAGGAAGACCAGCGGAGCTGTACACTGGAAAGTAATAACCGGTCACAAGTCGACAAGCCAGAGTGTAAAAGCTGCCGCCATCTATGAGCGACCGCGGCCACCAGATACGTGGCTTGCCGCCGTCGCTCGTAGATGGCGGTGTGTATCCAGAGTTCGGTGTCCTCATTTTTTTTGCGGGGGACACGATCCTGGCGAAACTAGACCTTAACAGCTACGCTGTAAAAAATGAGGTGTATGTTTATACAGCTTAGAACTTAGTTTGCCTCAACGGGTGACTTGTATGCCAGCTGTAGATGAGACATTTAGCCAGTGCAGTACAAACCGCTAGCTTGGAGTCTTTAACGTGTATCATAGTGATACACGGCCAAAGGCCGGTACGATGCTCATCCAGATAGAAACAGGGAGGGGTAAGGATTCAACCCAGGACTGCTGGGTTCTGCAACGCGAGCTTTCATTCCACGTGCTACGAGCAGCTGTGCGCCAGCCAACTCGGCCAACGATGCAGCATTAAAATCTTTCTTGAGGCTCGTATCTGTATCGCCTCCATTTTTTTAGAGCGCAGCTCTTAGGCGCCCATTTTCTGGTTGAGCGGTGTCGGCGTCGGCGTAACCGCGCGCGTTGCATTATGGGGCGTTCCTCACCAAAGTTAGCGTGAAAAGGTTCGCGCTAAATTTAGCGGGGAAATGTTCCACTCAATTTAGCGAGAAACTTTCCGCTAAATTTAAAACGGAAATTTTTCCGCTACACTTAGCAGGGCAATTTTCCCGCTATATTAGGCAAGAAACCTTTCCCGGCAGATTTAGCGGAAAACTTTCCCCGTTAAATTTAGCGGGAAATATTTTCCCACTCAAGTTAATGGCTACTTTTCTAGAATCCAGTTGCATTACATTAAAGTAAAGCCGTTGAATTACACACTGATCAGGTCAAACTGACAAAAATTGTTTATATAGAATCAATATGCCAGTACAGCGCATGTTTTTGTAGTCACGGCAATGTGTGTGCATTGCTCGATTCCCTAAGTGGAAAGGATGCCCGTGGGCTGTTGAAATTATACGCTTGGATTATGAACTATGAAAAGTAGTATGGTGCATATGCAACTCTACTCCTTACCTCAAAGCGACATATCTATATAGGGCATGATTGCAAAGTCAAATCAAGACTAGTTTAATCAACTAGGCAACGAAGAATTCGAAGCCCTATACTAGTATAAAAATCAAGGTCACGATGACGCGCATAAAATGCTTCTTTGCAAGATGGAATGGTCTTTCCGTTTCGTAAATTTGCAAGGATGACGACTTTTATAGTTTTATAACGAAAGCAAAATCTTTGAGCTTGATGTGTTCGCAAAATTTTCTTGCGATATTTATTATATTGTTTTTATTCTTAACAGTTGATAAGCATAAATTAGTGAGAAACATGCAGCTTGCAGTTCGCGCGATATCACTGTGCAGGGACTGCACGTGCACTCAATGTTCACACCCTCGAAGCAGGGGCATGAATCCCTATGGCATCGCACTCGTGAACTTTGTTTCTAGTGGAAGATTTTAATTCAATCTATATTTATTTTATTCTAGATAGTTAGTAGGATAACCAGAAGCGATGTAGAAGGCCTTCTTCCTGTTAACTTTGTTTCCCTACTCCTTTGCCTCACTTCCCACTAACCCACTGAACAGATGTCGGTGCAAAACAGGAACTTACGTTAATATTGATTAAAACAAATTACCCCTGCTCCGAGTTGCACTTTTAAGGGGTCATCTTTCATTCACTCTCACTGATATACTAATCTCAGAAGTACTTTGCAATTCGATCGCGGGAATTAGTTGCGGGCAGACTCAGTAGCCGTCGTCCGCAATGTAAGGCTGCTGTTGGCTGAACTCGTTGTTCATAAACTTCTTGTAGTTGTCCTCGCCGCCAACGTCGGCGTTATGCATCCAGTCCAGTTCCTGCGGAAGCCGGTAGCGCTTGTCGGCGATGACGATCAGCACAGGAGACACCCGGTGGTGGAAGATGCCCTGGGAAGATGATGTCCCAAAGCAGTGCGTTCAAAGCTATCTATGAGGCAATGGAAGAAACACAAAAAACAGGAAACCTTTCTTGATCGAGCAGTTTTTTAGCCGAGAGTGTTTCTCCAAGTACAGTATACTTTCCGACCTATTTTGGAAATTATGCTTTTCAGGACCGCAAATTCAATTTATTTGTTATATTTCGGTGGAGCACGAACGGAATAAAAAAAAAGGACTTGACAATATTTTTTTAATTATGACGCACGTGCAACTTGTGTACAGGTGTGCACATTTTCGCAAGTGTATTTGTGTGTGTGTGCGTGTGCGTGTGCGTGTGCGTGTGTCTATGCCGGTCTGCATGTGAGAGATAAACTTTTTCTGGCGGGGGACTGAATATCGGTTAGTAGCGTATTTCGACATATTTCTTATGTTTTCTTGCTTGCTCATTTCTTGAATATTATCAAACTTCTTTCATATAATTTTACTCGCGACGAAACGGAAGACGCGCGTTTCCATAACTAGTTGTGCTCTAAAAATGCGAAGAATTATAAGTACGACCGAACTGACCTGCTAATCACTTCACAGACGGTGAAAGAGTAGTAATACAGTAGAAGCACCGGCTACAGCACGCTCTTATTGCCTGGCTTCGTGTTTCGGCTGCGCGTGCGTGGAAGTATTATTAATGGCAAAAGAACTTGCGTAAGGGTGCATTCTTAACATGTAAAAGATTATAGTATGAAAATGCTTTTTTAATAAATCCTAAACATTTCTTTCTACTCCTGTTTTGTAGAGTGGCATAAGATCATTTTGCATAACTATTCACAATCCTCTTCTTCGTATGCAGGGAGAGGGTGCTTAGGGTATTTTGAAAGTCGGCCAACGCTGCCATGAATTTAGTGTCCAAACGCTGCTTACAAACAGATGTAGCCATGCAATTCCCTTGTGAGGCATATAGTTCAACTGCCTATTGATAACAGGGTGGAATTCAATATCAAGCAAATATTTTGACCGCTTTAAACTTCTAAGGACAGGACGACGGGCGGGTCGGTAGGGCTAATTAAACTTGTGGATGGAAACAAGAACGTTGGTTGCTAGTTCGAAGCTTGTGGTTGTCCGTCCTTCTCGTTTTCTTCCTCAAGTTAAACTTATGTTTATTCATTATTCGGTCGTCGATCCTCGCAAAGCTTTATATAGCACCTATAGTTTTATGACTAATAATAAAAATAATTTATTAGTACGAATATTTAAGCCCTCCAATATTCAAAATGCTATGAACTTCTATAAATACTTTTTGGTAACTGAAACACTTTTTCTTTGTGTAACGCCATCTTGAATGTATACAAGGAAAGCGCCACGCTACACCCTAGCGAAGGGGTTTTAAAGAACTAAATCGTATCTCGATTGACAGAGCTCTCGCGCCACAAACTATGACATGCATTTATATATCGTTTCTGGTGAACGATATTGGTCACAACGCGTGCAATTTTTATTTTTCCTCGCAGAGCCAGCTGTCATAGCGTTCACCTACTAACGCAAGTGAATTACAAGTCTTGTCTGATACGTCCCGTGATTTGCAGACATGATAACACTGTCGTCTGATAACCCCCACAAAAAAAAAAAGAAAGTGGATCTTTTCTTAACATGCGAGTGCCAAGGCGAAGTGAGATCGGACGCAGGCAGAAAATGTGGTCGTCTGCTTTTTCACGGTAGAAGTTATTTACAACCAATGTTTCTGTTCTGAAACCTTATGTGTCGCCATACAGAAGCTGACATCGACCGGCAGACGAAGTACTAAGTAGAAGCACATCAGGTGCCGCCTGGCCTTTTCCACTGTTCGTGTGTTGGCGTGCTATTCTCACCAAAGCATTGCGTCATCGTAACTCGCTAAAGGGCAAAAATTATATTATTGGGTGATTACAAGCAATCGGTCACGCCACGTTCAATCAGCAGTCAAGAGTGCTCTCGCTCTCCTTGACCGAAATCAAACCACTTTCTAACCACCTCCCACATGCGGTGAGGCTTGAATTCACGCATGCAAACTCTCATACGGTATTACCTTTTGTTGTCGTTGGAGCAGTTAAAAAGAAACAAAAGGCTCCGCAATTGAGGTAATAGACGGCTGACCTACTTTGCTCTAATTCCCCAATTTAATCCTCGTGATTTTTCGGGTGTTTACTTTCCTACGTTAGATATTCGTCTCAGCCGAGCAAGAGCACCGATGGCCTTACGGGAAAGCTGAGCCTCCGCACGGACTGCGGTATGTAAATGGGAGCGATGAGGGACTCCTGAGACTCGGGGTCCACGGCGACTCCCTGCACCAGGATGGCGTCGTGTACGTCCGGCGGCAGGATAAACCGTGACGCGCTCTCCAGGTTGGGCATCAGGAACGTGTCCAGTCGCCTCGTGATCTTGTCCACGGGCCAGGTCTGCGGGAACATTGGCAAAGCGTTTCGGGACTGTCTTTGCATCAAGATTACGCTGGTCATAATTAGGGGCCCGTGCTTTCGGAAAATACCGCTAAACTTGTAAAACGAACTGCCAAGTTGCTTTTATGAATGTAAAAAAACGAAACGAATTTTAGTTGTACTTAAAAATGAAACACCCAAGTTTCACGACAAGAAAATATATATCTGCAATGTGCAGGTCCACTTCTCTGTCCGCAAGTTTGACTCTTTGTTCATAGAACACCCTTAATCACGCTCTCTTCGATTATCGGCACCGGGTTCACCTTTGCAAGTATTTGTTGTTACGCGCAAATTACCAGGAAATGGGGAATGCCATATTCTTATCATATTTTCAATATATGTCCGGGTGAACGCCGAAGATTATTGACACCGATAATTGACGCAAGACTCAAAATTTTCTTTAAAACAAATAGACTCTTAAAAAGATCCCCAAATTGGAAAAATATGAGCACCGAAAAAATTCACGGAGTTTTAAGAAAAATTAACCCGAAAACACGAAACCCTAGCAATAATGGGGGAGTGATAACCTTTGACAACAAAGTACAGTCTAGTACGCTTTATGTCAGGGCAAAGACTAAGGTGCAAGCGCAAGCATGTGGCCCCGAGAAATAAGTTCACTTCGCGAGCGTGTCTGCTTGGCAGGGACGCTAGTCCCGAGTTTGCCCCCGTGGCCTCTTCTGCTCGGACTTAAACGGACCGTGCGATGATATTATGTACGAATGTCGTTCTCTCTACACAGGCTTACTGTCACTAATGAGACCCAAGTTTACTCCCACGCATATCATGAAGGTTCTTTGTTAGCGCATAATTTGAAGGACAAAAGTGGACGTTTCTTTCCGTCTCGGTCGCAGAGCTCGGTGGCGAACTTGTAGGGATCGCTTAGTTGGCGTTGACAACAATGCGATCCCTGGATTTCGCCATCGAGCTTTGCTATCCCCGGTGTGACAGTATTTAAATGCGGCTTCAACCGTGGACACGAGCAGTGATTTCGTATTCGTTTTCGGTTCATAACAATCAATGCCTCGACATGCGTTTGGGTAATGGCTCGTGCCCAATCGCTGTGATGTCGGAAGAAGTCGAGCCTTAAGGATGTATGGAACTCATCGCGTGCCGTGTAAAGGCTAGCCCACATGGCGCGTTTTTCTCCGCGTCTTCGTCGCGTCTGCGCCTGCGCTTTGACGTAACTTCCGGCGCCGGGACGAAACGCAGCGTTTTTTGGCGCATTCCGGCGTATCTGGAGGAGCCAGATATTTTGCGTCCAGGCGTCGCGTCTCGCGCTGCGTCCAGAAGGCAATAACCAATGAACGGCCGTGTTCACTAGTTGCAAGGAGCGTTTGCATTTTCTCCACTGTTTTCGCCACTGTAGGACTGTAGTTTTCGCCACGGACCTCGCGACAAAGGCGATAATAATAATAATAATAATTTTTATTTGCACATATTGCGATACACACTCGGCAGCGTGCGAGGCTAGGCAGAAAGGTTGAGACCCTTACGCAGGTGCGCCTGCTAGCCCGCCGCCAAGTAGGGAAGGGGTACGGGAGAGGAAAATAAATAAAAACACTCAAAACGGAGAGATACACTTACAAAAACGGGTAACAGCCCTCTGCCATTCCAAGACAGAGCGCACGCGCGCACGCACACACGCACACCCGCGCGTGCGGAGTTTACAAAATTTGCGCGCTCGCGGCCTTCAATAAAAACGGCTTTTAGGCCCCGCCAACGCTCGCAGCGGGACGAACATGGGTAGTTACGTCCTTCCCCCCGCGAATATCAGTTTACCATACCTTTTACACAAGGCCAGGGAATCCTCCCTGCTCCGCGGGAGAGGCTGACGCTCCTTCAGCGGAACAGAGAGGACCTAGCGAAGTACAAAAGCGTCCTGCACTCTGGCAGGCGAAATGTAAAGAATACAAGGACACCGAGAGACAAAGGTACAAAATTAATACTACCGGCAACAACCGCGACAACGCAACCTTTGTAGCGGCCAGCGGCCAGCCAGGCCAGCCGGCCAGCTGTGAATGTTTTCGCGCGGGAGATGGTGATGCCAATGGCGTATCGAAACGTGTATGAGGCGTACGCACTAAAAAGGATGACAATTAGTGAAATTGAGCTTCATTGCGATTGCTGTAATAAAAATGAGTGCTTACTATTATTAAAATTAAATATTACGGCATGTAGCCATCATTTACCGCGCGATTTCTATTTAATATTTGCTTTTGTTTCTTAAGCACGTCTGGCTACGTTGGGCAGACGCTTCGGAAACGCAGACGCGAAGCGCTGCACGGTAGCGCTGCGTGTGGTTTGACTGGGCGCACGCGTCGTGCGTAACGCGCGCGCCAAGCCGAGACGCGCGTCTAGGCGCACTGAAAAACGCGCCATGTGGCCTAGCCTTTATTCGCCTAACCCTGCGCCTGGGTACGGTAAACACGGGCGGCATATAAAAGCCTCCCTATCCCTTAGCCGCTTGCTCTGATTTCGATTTGGAGCTGAACGCTGTTCGTTTTTCTCAAATATTTTTCTGCGGCTTTCATTACGTAAATAAAACATGATACGTGTTTAATAGGTTGTCCATATTGAGGAATAATTCTAAACGCTATTTAACGAATATACAAAAATGGTTGAATTGCCCCTTTTGAAGTGATACACAATGTAGACGATTGGCCTTCGGGAATAATTGATTAAGGGGCATTCACCCGCTCATCACTCAATCAGCTAATTTCGATACACAACCTCAGTTTCAAGATTGCATATCAATACTGATTGTTTTGGAGGTTCATTGTAAAGGCTTACTGAAGGTCGTACAGCCCTTGAGCCTGGCTGAAACAGTGGCGTTGCTTGCGCTAGCGACCGAAAAGACAGCAACAACAGTCACCGGGAGAAATGTTCGCCGTATAAAACGCAGCAAACAATGCAGAATGTAGCTCAATGAAGCAGCCGTGAGCCGCGGTTGTCCTGGTGTTCTGGTCGTTGCTACCGTTTTGGTGGCTTCAGGCGGAGCCGACAGAAATGTGCAAACCAGCCTTTCGATTTTATCTTGAGAGTGCTAGAGAGTTCTTTTAGAATCCAGAACCCTAACGGTCTGCACAAATTTAAGCTAATTTTGAGGCAATTTAAATATAAAAATGACTTAGAAAATAAAGTTAAAAATAACACATGGTATACTCTATTTTGACATAATTTGGCAAGCCGTGAACCTAAGGCTACAGTCCAATCGAGCCAATCAGCACGTCGGAGGGTGGCACGTCACTCACTAGGTGCCCCCAGTGCGCCGAAAACTTTGCAGGAGAAAGAAGAATGTCGTATTTGTAAAAATTATGAATGACAGAGTCTGGGAGAAACAAAACGACATCTCGGGTATACAATAGAGGGTCTTGATATGAGTTGCTGCTTCCACTCTTCTGCGACTGCTTGGGTTACGCGAAATTCATCTGCTCTCTCATCCCTGGCTGTCACGTCCTTCGCCTCCGCCACTCTTATTGGATCGAAGGTGCTATAGCGTTTGCTCTTTGCCGAGTCAAGGTGAAAAGGAATATGGTTCGCACTAGAGGAATTTCGTATCTTAATTTTAACACCATGACGAGAAGTATAAATAATGTTGTATTTGCGTGTTTTTTTTGTGTGTTTTTTTTTGTGAATAAATTTGTCAGGACAGTGTATACGCTCGATTTACCTAGAATGCGACAAAAAGTGGGCACCACCAGTTAATGCACCAAGCCAGATCATTTGTTGTTGTTGTTCTCTCCAGCTGGGAAGAAAAGCGGCTCGTGGCAAGCGTCATTTGCCTGACAACGCCAAGATCAGTTTTGCCATTAGAATGTTGTGAGTGCAAATTCTGTCAGCTGCACCAGGACGTGCACGTAATATAGTCTTTTCCGTTTTCGTTCTGAACTATTTTTCTATGTAATTTATTAGCTTTTATTTTAGTAATTATTGTTTACCCTGAATAAAGTAAATTAAGTAAATTTACCCAGTAAATTATACGGAAATAATAAATGATTTTGAAATTTTGTGATAGGTATTTGTTCTCAGCAAACAATCGGGTACAAAAAGAGATAAAGTGTCAGAAAGGCCTCTGATATTCGCATGAAGGGGAAAGAACTCAAGTGAAGACAATCCAGAGGAGAAGCTCTTTTGCAGGGCACTCAGTCTTTGCCGTCTGCCTCAACGGCATTTCGAAGTGGAGGCGAAACACGGACCTGTGTTTGAAGTATATTTTTAAATGAGGCTTAGTATCCGCGTGATTATCGCCGGTGAATCGAACGTCTCTCGGTGCGCCAAACCTCGCGGAGAGAAATACGTTTCACATTTAAAGAAAAAAAAAAAAAATCCGAGTTAATTTACGTTACTGCTTGAAAGCTCTCACATGCTTTTTCGTTTGAACTTGGAGTGTTGAGTGGCGACCTTGCTGCCAGGTGCGGTTGCTTGAGGTACAACGCGTGCCATAGCGCAGCCCGCCATATAGCAGGGGATACGTGAGCGACGAAAACGGGCGCCGCGCGGCAGTTTCCATAGCAAGTTGCACGAACGCTGTGTCGTGGACCTATGCCACGCCGGCCGCAACAGCGTCCGCGCAAGTTGTTAGGGAAACTGCCGCGCATTGCCCGTTTTCGTCGCTCTTGTGTCTCCTGCTTAAAGGACGGTAAACTCCAGACCGCAAAATGTCTCCCGCATTAATGTGGAAGGCGGAAGCAACGTCGCCTCTGATGTCAGCGGTGACGTACTTCCTGCAGCCGGGCCGGGACTGAAAGTTCAATATACTGAACTCAGCCGCACAAAGACGAGGCCGGAGAACGCCGAATTTTCGCAGTAGCCAATCAGGGAAAGGCGGTTCACCCTCCTCACCTTCTCGCCAACCTTGCGCTGGAGCGGGGTTGGGTAGGGGGAAGGGGGGGGGGGTGGGGGCTTAGAACTTCTTGGGAGTCCCACTAGAACACAAAGGGAGGCTTAAGGAGCAGCTGCTT